CTTCGTTACCTTATCACTGTTCCTTTAGGAAGTTAGGAATATGTACTTTTTTTGGGGGGGGGGGGGTTCGTAGAACATGTATTTTAATTCAAAAATTAGTTAACGGATTTCTTCGAACATACTTGCTTGTTTTGGAGATATTTTGGTTTGGACACTCATCACATAGATGTAGCTGGATATGGAGCTTTGTAAATATTTTCGAGAATATAATCAATACTTCTAACAAATTTTGAATTAAAATAACCCATACATGTTATTTTTAAGAACTAGAGATTTATCCGAGTTGATAACTATTTAAAACTTACATGTATTTAAAGTGCTTAGAATTTAGTCCCGCTTACTATAGTTTCAAAACTACGTCCAAGCATCAACACAACTTAAATGCCAAATGGTGTCCTCACAAAATGCCCTTAGAAATATATGCATCACATTTCACAATGCATAATACATCCACTCTTTTACTATTTATGTTGTAGTAACGATTTTTATTGTTGGGCAAGTTCTTTTGGATTCATCGGTAAAATAGAAGAATGTAAAGTCCAATCTTCTTAATGATAACAAAAGCGTTTAATTTCTTGGAATATAAGTATGCTTAACTAGTGTTTGCTGATAGGTCTGAGTTTACACTAGACGCTAATATTACAATTTCACTAACTTGCTAATTCTCTCGCTCTACAAAAACATACGTGTATTGATCATTCTACCGAAACTCAAAATCGCAACACTAAACAAATTCGATCAAATATTACCTCACTATTTTAGATTCAATGCAGCTTACTAATATACTCAGTAGTCATCGTCTCTAGCCTAATTCGCGTTTTATACTGCTCAAACTATTGTAAACTTTTGAAGAAAATTCCAGGTCTTAAGCCACGAGACGTCAACCTTCCCTCTAGCCAAGCAACAATACAAATGGCTAAATTAAGAAACTATAGCCTATAACAATATATTTTTGTGCTTTCTGTCTTGCTAGTTCAACCTATGTGTAATGCTAAAAAGTTGGTTCTGTAAACCTAAGCTTTTAAAAAACGCATTTAATCTTAACATTATGAAACGTTTTGTGAAATATGGGTTCCTTTAAATCAAAATTGGATTAGTAACGTTCTTATTCAATTATGTGCTTTAAATCTAACAATTAAGCCCAATTAATACGCGTCTTATACACAGGCAGAGAAATAAAATCAATGCGCGAGTAATAGAATTGACACTATAAAGTGTATTTTGAGTCTGAAAAGTTTTCAACTGTTTACCGAGTGAGGCTGTTATAGTTTGCTATCTTTTTCTTATAAATACTGAAATAAGAGCAAACGCTTTTTGTTGGGATAACCTAGTTTACTTGGCGTTTTATTTTATTTTTTTGTTTTTTTTTTTATAAAAAGCTAAATGTAATTCATATTGGCATTATAGCTGATAAGTTGACGAAAATTTGCACGCATACTCGTTAAACCGTAGAATTGCTACTCACCTTACTGTAGCACAACTTGAGACCTCTCTCGTGCAACCTACATGTTAGTGCGTATTTGCAACTGCTTCTCACTGACGAACTCGCGCAACAAACAATCTTGCCAGCAACGCTCTGATAATATGATTTCATATTTTGATTCATGGCAGACATCTTTCGCCAAAATTTTGTGGTCAAAAATGTACACTGAAGAATTTAAGATAAAGGTATATGATACTGCTTAAAATATATGAAGTATTGTGACATCATAATATTTTAGTTGTAGTTTAGTTTATGTTAAAGCTAAATTCTACGCAGCTGTGTGGCGGGCTTTTTGTAACAAAATCAATAAGTGGCTATTGTTCTTTCATAACTACAGCTTATCAGAAAATAATTATTTGCTCACTAACGTATACAGACGATTTTGACTTTCCTCTTTGTTGTTTTTCTCTTGGCCATTAATACTACCCGTTTACAGTTCAGTTGATTGTTTTAGGACGTTATTTGCCAAACTGAAAGATTGGTTTAAGACTGTAAAATCTCACACATAGCGGTACAGAAAAGAGCAAATATTTGATCCACATGTAACAACTATACACAAACAAATATATATTTATATCCAACACAGAACAGGTGGTCAGCACACGAACCACGTATAGAACAAACAGGTGGTGAACAGCCAATAGAAATGATAGAACACTTTTTCACGAGCTAATATTCAAAGCTGGGTATTTTTGATATAACTGTTGTTAGCCACAAAGACAAACACACTGCGTCAGAGCTGTTACACCACTGAGTAAGATAGATATATATATTCTAATAATAAAAGAACCCTTCTTCCAAAACTACACACACTTTCTTTCCATCATGAAACCACCGATAATTGATCAAAAGAAGTCTGAGAAAAAGGAAGAGGACTTAGATAAAGATGTCGACTGGGGTGTTGAAATCCAGCTTTCTGAGAAACGAACCTCAACCTTTAACACCTCCTCGTTTTGGATGCACAATGCTTTTAATATTTGGATTATCGCAGGCTTACTCATAATATTTTTTCTGTCCTTTCTAGTAATCCTTCTGGGGTGGAATCTGCTTACTGCAAGCCATGGCTTTCCCCAGGATTTTCCAAAAACACAGGAAGTCCAGTTAGGGACATCGAAACTTGCCTTCAAACTCTTGCCCTTAATGGCCGAGAATAATGCCAACATAATATTTAGCCCTTTAAGTTTGGTTATTGGTTTGGCAATGATCTTAGAAGGGTCCAAAGGACACACAGCTGAAGAAATTTGTTCTGTTCTTAATTGGAATCCTACAACAACATTCGAAATCCAGAATGACTTAGGTTTCTTACTGCAAGGTCTGAATGGAAACACAGATATATACACTAAATTATACATAGGAGGAAACGTATTCATTCAGGAAAATTTCGAGATCACTTCCAAGTTTAATGATCAACTGAAACAAAACTACGAATGTGTCGCAACTGAAGTCAATTTTGTGGAGGAAGCAGAAGCTCGTGAAATCATAAACACCTGGGTGTCTAAACAAACATGGGGGCAAGTCAGAGAGCTTGTGAGACCCAGTCAGCTTGACCTAACTACTCGTCTTCTAATAACCACTGTTATGTATTTTAAGGGTCAGTGGTTACACGCTTTCCCAAAACAAAACACTTTCCAGGCCAGATTTTATGTTCAACCAGACGATGAAGCCACTGTTCACATGATGCATACAACTGGAAATTTCAACTATGGAGAATTTACTAAACTAGGGTTGCAATCACTGGAGCTACCGATTGATGGAAATAAGTTAAGCCTTCTTCTGATTCTGCCAAATAAACCCGGACGATTGCCTGAAGTACGTAAAGTCTTACAACAAAACCCCGAAATTTTAAGCGAGCTTAATGGACACATGAAGAATCAAACCCTGTACATCTGCCTACCCAAATTCAAAGTAAGGCTTAGATTTTGCATTGTTATGAATGCTTTAATAATCATATTTAATTACAACTGTGTAAAATATGAACCATTTACTTATGCATGAAATTCACTCCTTCATTAGATTTACTTTTTAAAATTGTAACTTCTCTCACCCTTAACTTGATGCCAGAAACGATCAAAATAAGAATAATAACTCGAATAATCACAAAAATATAAATATATAATTTTTTCTGTTCCATAACAGAGAACATATAATATGCTAGTAAAAGCACAAAATGCATAATTAAAAAAGAAGAGAAGTTTGCATAAAGACGTTCTTAATGTTTGAATAATCACAACAAATCGAACTGGTGTATTTAAGTGTTTTACACTCACAAAAAAGAAACCTATCATTCTATAGGTATTTGAAGAACTTGTAGCATACCGCCACAATTTAATTCTTCGTATTGTTAGCCGACACTAGGCAGCTGGTACATAATTGAATAAATTGTTCAATCACAACAAAAGTATGCCAGGCGAGGAATACACACACTAGCTAATTATAAAATGACACGTTTTGTGTTTTTATTCATCTCCTCTGCGAAAATGATCTGTGACTTCGCATACGCTATTTCCTCCACCCAACCCCTTTCCCCGAGCCAGGCGTGATCTAGGGTTAGAATGCTCCGATTGTGAATAGGAGGATTTCTGTTTTGCATTTCCGCCCTTTGAGATTATAAGAGTGATGGTCAAATGTCACTATACAATCTGATAAAAGTAGCCCAAGAGTTGGCTGTTGGTCCTGTTCACTAGCTACCTTCCCAGTTTCCACTGCTCTGCCTATTCAAAATCAGGGACGGCTTTAGCAGATAACCTTTTTTGTAATGGCTTTACGCAAAAATTTTCCTTCCCAACGAAAAGCATACATTCCCAAGACCCTATATATGTATAACGTAGTTCTTTTCCTTAGGCATTATCAAAAAAGGTGTAAACTTAGTCCACCTCATATTCAACGATCGAAGTTCATGTTCTGAATCTTTCTTTATATTTTCATAATTGAGGGTGTAGCGGCAGTGCGCTCATCTTTTAGTTAATATCTGGTTTTCTTAGCTTAATGGCAAGATATTTTGATATTCTAAAGTGAAATTCTTCCTGAGAATGAAAGATGACGAGGAAAACTGGGGAAAAGAACAACATTACACTTGTTTAGACAGTGGTTGGTAACACTACTGGTGTTGTCTTCTTTTACTCGACTACAGAGCCTTTTAGTGGTTGATCTAATATATCCCTGTTGCACATCAAGCACGTTAACGATGAAGAAAATTATCAAATGGATATACTCACAAGATCAGTTAAAATCTAGGTTAAAAAGGCTCTACAACTTTAAAGAAAAACAACATCCATTAAATATCTCGCTAGTGGAATATATGATTTCACCTACCCGAGTTTCAACCAAGGATATATTGGATCAACCGCTAGAAGGCTCTGCAGTCAAATAAAAGAACACTGTGGCACCAAAACCTACAACGTCAATAGTATTACACAACCACTGTTTAAACGAATGAGATATTGTATCTGCTTCCAGTTTCTTCTGCGTCATCCTCCATTTTTGGGAAACATCCCAACTTAGAACGCTAGAATCTTTCGTTATTAAGCTAAGAAAATCCTATTTTAACCCAAAAATGAGCAAACTGCCACGACATCTTCAATTGTAAAAAATGTAAAGAAATAACAGGTGCAAGCTTATTGGTTTTTAAACTTGGATCTCCTTATTGTTCACGTTTCAAGTATTTGTCCCCCAGTGGCACAGCGGTATCTCGGCGGACTTACAACGCTAGAAACTGGGTTTCGATACCCGTGGTTAGAGCAGAGATGGCCAATCGTGTAGCTTTGTGCTTAATTAAGAACAAACAAATTCGTGTATTTTGAAAACTACGTCACTTTCTATGTCTTAAACAGATGTCATTTTTATAAAACATTTGGTTCCGTACACTTTGGACGAGTGACAGTCAGTGCATGGAGATTATTGAACTACGTGATATGAAAAGAGATAGTTTAGCTAAACGACATATGTAAAATTTATATAGTTTGTTATCGTACTGCGTGTTTAAATAAAATTATTCAATACACTTTAAATTATGTTATATTATATATATAATAAATACATGCTAAATGGTGTTTAAAAGCAATATAAAAACAACAGATTACTTGTCTAATCAACCCTAAATCGCAAAAACAAAACAACTAACAACATATATATATATATTCTTTTGTTTTTCACCACAAAGAAACCGGTTGTTTAACTAAAAATACAAGTTTCAACTTGTGATATTTGTGAGGTAAAATACGTGTACAGAGTATACAATTTAGTTCTTTTTTTGCTGTTTTATTGCTAGAATACGAAGCTAATAAATAAATGTATTAGCTCGCACAAAACAAAGATGATAGGTTTACGTAATATATATATATATATGCATGGAGATGAACAGATAGGGATGTTAAAAAATGAAATAATTATGTACAGAGTTTAGCATATCTTAATGTTTCAAGATAACGTGTAATTTGATGTTAATATGCAAACGTTAAATTTATTATTATACAGAACTTTATCCCGGTATTTGTGAAAGTATAAAAAAGTGTTTTGAAGTATTAAAAAACTGATTTAAAGCTTATTCCAATGATCCGTGATTAAAATATACTTGTAAATTGAGTGAACGACTTTAATATGACTCACAGAAAGCTTGCTGAACAACTGGGCCCGGCATGCCCAGGTGGTTAGGACGCTCGACTCGCAATCTGTGGGTCGCGAAATCGAATTTCGTCACATCAAACATGCTCGCCCTTTCAGCCGTGGGGGCGTTATAATGTGACGATCAATCCCACTATTCGTTTGTAAAAGAGTAGCACAAGAGTTGGTGGTGGGTGATGATGATTAGCTACTATCCCTCTAGTCTTTCATTGATAAATTAGGGACGGCTAGCGCAGATAACCTTCGTGTAGCTTTGCGCGAAATAAAAAAAAAACACAAACAAACTGAACAACTGCGTCATCTACAAACCACATATAGCAAGCGCTCAACTGTGTCGAGATCTGAAAAGAAAAAGGTGCTCTTGGTTTTAACGTGATAAAAAGCAGTACTTGTCCAATTATTTCTGTTTAACAGAACTGATGAAACAAAGTGGAGTGTACTTTTCACTATTATTTCATTTATTACGACCTTAGTTTCGCTAGTAAAGACTTCATCAGGTACTAACGAAACGATGGTCATATTAAATGAAATATTTGTGAAACGTATAATTGGTTGCGTTGTTCCAAAGTTCTGTTGATTATGAAGCTTCACCAAGTACTGATGGTTTCAAGCATTAATTATATATTCCTGTTTATAATTATTTTTGTTTACTTTCATTAAAAGAAAGTACGCGAGTTTTTTTTTTTATGTTAATATTAAACAGTCCCCCAGTGGCACAGCGTTATATGTCTGCAGACTTACAACGCTAGAAACCGGATTTCTATACCCGTGATGGGCAGAGCACAGATAGCCCACCGTGTAGCTTTGTGCTTAACTTGAACCAAGCCAAATAATAAACTTTTGTGTTTATGGTTTAAAAAAAAAATCTCATTGGAATAATTACACTTTTTATCCTGTTTAGTACTTACTGGTATAAAAATGGATGACCCTGAAACCTTAATGTACCACACGAGAATAAAATCGGTTTTGTTCTGTATAAATACGTGATTTGTTTTCGATTCGACATCAAAGTATTCATTTGACCTACCGAGATAGATTAGGAAGACCGACAACTATTTGACAGTCAGGGTCGCAAAAAAATTACCCCAGTTCTTCCTGAGTTTAGTGCTTTTACTGTAGCTCTGTCCCGGTAGGGGGTAAATGACCTTCATCTAACGGCAATGCTCGAAAAATCTGTGTGGATTTTGCCTCAGACCACACAGCTGCGTGGATTGTAGCCCTGGCGGCACGCTGTCTCTGAGAAACAGGTAAATGTCCTTATTAGGCCAGGCCGAACATGAAAATAATAACCTACTCCCCTATTTGTTCTAGGTTTCTATTATAGTTAAAGAGTTTTCATAAATATACCAGAGGTGTACTTACAGGTTAAAACCAGCGTTATCTATTGAAGTTGACTGTTAACAACACGCTTTAGGTTAACACCACCTCCCCGTGGCTCAGAGATAAGTCTTTAGGCTTATGACGCTAACATTTGGGTTTCGATACCTGTGACGGGCACAGCAAAAATGCACATTGTATAGCTTTGTGCTTAATAACAAATGTATGTACTAATGGTTTTGTATTCATTGAAATGACTCTCTTTAAGACTAACTTGAACTTTAAGGCCAAGAACGAAGACCGGTAAAACTGTGGTTTAAATGACTTACCTGCACGTCCAAGTCAGTTTAAAATTCTATATGTAATATTTTACTTCTATATTTACTATTAACTTGTGATCAAAGCAAGCTACCCACGAAGATCAGAACTAAAATTATATATCTGGTAATAAGCATCGCTAATTTGATATACTGTTCAAACTATCTAATACTATAAAACACTGTGTGTATCTGTCACGCACTGGTGTCATAGCAACTTATTACGTAATTTAAGTAGTTGGCTTCCTGTCAATTAGAAACGAGTAGTCTACGATTGATCGAAAATTAAAGATATATTTGGACTAAAATGTACAAAAAATTGCAACTTTTTCGCAATTTGAAAACGTGTCTTTGTTAAATCGTCGAGTTACGCCAGAAAGGACGTAAATTTACTTTAGCAGACATTTTATACAACATATTAAAAGCTTATGAAAGTTTTTAAAAAGATCTAACGTTACGTCGTAAATTAATATTAGAAGATTATTTATTGATAGTATTAAGTGCGATAAGGGCCGTAATTGTTAAAGGCTTAACTGATGTTAGGACTAAGACAAATGGACTTATATATATCAGTGTCTGCGATTAGATTCTTTTGTATTGCTCTAGAAGTCCTGTATTTAAAAGAAGTATTGTTGTAATAACGATATTAAT